AAACAAAACCAAAAGACTGGAGCCCAAGACCAGAGGGAAAAGCTACCAGCTGCAGCAAAGTGCATTTCTTGATTAAATAAAGGGAGATAACCAAGTGAACTGGAAGAACCTTATCTTCAAAGTTCATGAAAAACCACACAGACGTGAGAGAACATTTGAGCCTGGACTTTTCTCAGCACAGCTGCTGTAAGCAGATAAGCTCACAGGTTTTTCCGCACCCAACTCTCCATTCCTTCTACCTCCTTACTTCTCTGGATGGAGGGAGTGGGATTCTGGGCTGGGGTGACTCATATAAAATTTAAGTTGAAGGTAGGCGTGGGCTGAGGAAAGAGGAATCAGATTAATTTGCTGGGTTGCAAAGAATTTATTCTGTAAGCTCTTGACCGTGGCCTTGAAAGCTCAATATGTGTTTTGTACCTCTTGTAAATGTGCTATTGTGCAAAATAATTAAACCCAACATTTGGAATTCAGGATCCATCCAGAATAAAAAAAACAAAGTAAATCTTTGTTAGTTTTGGCCAACTTCATGAGTTCTTACTGTCTATTAAATTACGACTTATGGAACATTAGAATATATTCTGGGCACAAGTAAATGTTCTTTATGGAAATCCAATAAAAAGAGCGATTTTGTTTGGAGATGATGGTTCTCTTTACATTTATAATATTCCTGTAAATACAATTTGTTGCATTTAAAAGGTGAGTTCCATTTGGGTTTAGAAAAGTAAATACATGGCTTGCTGCCCATAGCACAGTGGTTACAGCACCAGCCACATACACCGAGGGTGGTGGGTTCAAACCCAGCCAGGGCCAGCTAAACAACAATAACAACTGCAACAAAAAATAGCCAGGCATTGTGGCAGGCGCCTGTAGTCCCAGCTACTTGGAAGGCCGAAGCAAGAGAATTGCTTAAGGCCAAGAGTTGGAGGTTGCTCTGAGCTGTGATGCCACAGCACTCTACTGAGGGCAATGTAGTGAGACTCTTGTCTCAATAAAAAAAAAAGTAAATACATGTATTTGCTTGTATATAATCAGAACATTTCTTGAAGAATACATGAAGCTTTAACAGTTTTGCCTCTGGAGAGAAGAGGATTTTAATGTATCACTTTATACATGGCTTTACTACACGTGTATTTATTTTAGAAAAATAAAAAATAAGATTGATTTCTTTCCTCAGATTTTTTTTCAGGAGACCACATTTACCGTTCAAAGGCAGGAGTAGATGTATAATTAAGTGGAGTATTAAATGGTCAGCACCAAAAGCAGCTTCACCCAGAACGATGCTACTTACATCAAAGATCTCCTGTCTGGGGCCTTCATTTCCCTCTATGGAGCCCTCTGGATACTTGCTTTGTGCTCTAGGGCTTGCTTGTCTTCTCTTCCCCTGATGTGTGTGTGTCTTTCCTTACAACATGCTTGGAAATACCTGAGCCTGCTTGACCTTGATAGCTAAGCCAGGTCAGGCTTGGCTGTTCCTGGGATAATATTCCATGGCTGTATCAACAGAACCGATATCACTGAATGTGCAGGAGACCATTATCCCTCTCAGTTGTCGCAGTCAGTGGGTGGTTGACAAGATCTAGATTTGTTTCACCGCAGCCTCGCAGACACACGCTATGTGGCTGGTGCACCCAACCCAGAGGAAAACATCCTGGCTTTCTGTGTCCTTAGCGCAGTATTCCCGTTTCCCTTCAGGGGCTGAGATACACACAAGAGTGCAGAAGGAAAACCAAGGCAGAGGAGGTGCTGGGGGTGGGGGGACAGCCAGCCCTATGAATTAGAATGACATCTGGGTCAATTCTCTCTGCTGTAGGGAGAGAGCAAGAACCAGTAGCCTACAGTGCCTGGGGGAAGAGTGGGCAGTTTACAGTCTGATATTATTTTCAGTTTTAACTTAGAGGAATTTGGCTTCTCCATTAGCACAGCCCTTGACTGCTGCGTCCCTGTGGACTGTGAGGAATTCGTGTGGGTCGCAGGAGATAGGATCAATTAGCTCTGTAGCTGTTGCCTAAGTACTTTGGAGACACTGGTCTGTAACTGCCTCCTACTACATAAGAGAGTTGTCTTGATCCCTGGGAAAACTTGGCTCTCCTAAACTGGTCCCATCTCTTCTTAAGCCTCTCACTGATCCCCTTCCATTTTATAAATGCTATTGAGTAGCATCATTGGCCATTTGTTGCATAACATTTTATGATTTTCAAAGTATTTTCATATTCTCACTTTCATATGAGTCTCCCCACAGCCTGTGGGAGAAGACTTGACAGGTATCATCTTCATCTGACCAGAGTGTCTGAGGCTTAGAGAGGCTGAATGTTCTAGGCAGGACCACATGGTAGCAAAGAGCAGGTTTATTTATTTGCTTTTCTCTTCTTGGTCATCTCCAAACTCCACCGGGATGGCAGGAGACCCTCTACAGGAAGTACGCCTGAATAGAGTGAATCTGGGGCCTCTGTGGGTGACAAATGAAAGCTGCCTTTGGACAAGAAGATACTCAGTCTCTGTTAACCTGTTGGCTCCCACTCTGCCTTGTGGCATTTTCGTTTCCTTGAACTTGTAAGGAACTCCCAAGTGACCAGCCCAAGAACCTGTCAGTAGATCCTAGTTGAATAGATTGGTCCATCCATCCAGGGGAACTGGAGGCCACTTTAAAACACGTGTCCTCTGGAGGAACTGAGCTGAAAACATCTCTAGGATACAGTAAATGACAAAATCAAGAGGCAGGACAGAGCATGCAGTACGCTTTTGTGGGGGGAAAAAAAAACAGGGAAGGGGGATAAAAAACAGATTTGAATGTGCTGCTATGTGTGTAAAGGAACACTGGAAAGTTATATTAGAAGCCAAGGAAAGTAGTTGGTGACAGAAAACAGAGGGGATGTGAGTCAAACTTCTCAATTTGTGTCATTTGACTTTTAAAAAACTTTATTTTGAAATATAGATTCACAAGACATCATTAAAATAGTCCAGAGAGGGACTTTACCTAACAAATGCAATCAGTGTAACCTGGTTTCTTGTACCCTCAATGAATCCCCAACAATTAAAAAAAAAAATAGTCCAGAGAAATCCTGTATACCCTTAACCCAGTTTTCTCTAATAGTAACATCTTATATTACTATAGTGCTACATACAGCAGCAAAACCAGGAAAGTGACAATCTACAGAGCTTATTTAGATTTCACTAGTTTTCATGCCCTCATTTGCATGTGTGTAAGTATGTGTGCAGTTCTATACAGTTTTATCTCATATGGAAATTTGTGTGAGCAGCACGATCGTCAAATCCAGAACTGTCCCATCACCCCAAATCACCCCAAATCCCTCCTATGCTAATCCTTTACAGCCACAGCCCCTACCTCATCCCCATCTCCCAGTGACCACCCATCGGTGCTCCATCTCTGTTACATAAACACACTCATCTATTACATAACTCGGTAAGACTGGTTCTTTTTCACTCATTATAATTCCCTCCAGGTCCATCCAAATTTTGGGGTGTATCTGTAGTTCATTCCTCTTTACTGCTGAGTAGAATATTCCATGGATGGGTGGTACCAGTTTAACCACTCACCCACTGGAGGCCATCTGGGGGTTTTCTAATATTTGGCTTTCATAAATAAAGCTACGATGAATATTCATGTACATGCTTTTGTGGAGATGTAAATTTTCATTTCTTTTTTTTTTTAATTTTTATTTATTTATTTATTTATTGGCCAGAGCTGGGTTTGAACTCACCACCTCCAGCATATGGGGCTAGTGCCCTACCCCTTTGAGCCACAGGTGCTGCCCTAAATTTTCACTTCTTAAAGATAAATGTCCAGCAGTAGAATTGCAGGGTCATATGGTAAGTGTCTGCTTGGGTTTTTTGTTTGGACTTTTTTGCTTATTATTGTTTTTATTACCTCAGCCTTCCCCCTTCTTATCCCAGAGTGTTGAAATTCCGATCCCAGCCCTTCCTCCTGATCCCTTAGCTACTCCAGGGCTCTAATGCTAGTTTTGGGTCGGTAGCCCTAGGGCAGGTTCTCGAAAATCAGCTGTTTCAGTAATTGCTAGCCCATTATTTGCACTCTCCTCCCCTCTAAGGCAAGGGGCCATCTGCTTAGTTTTTTAAGAATCTGCCAAAATTTCTTCCAGAGTGGCATTTTGATTTTTCAAATATATATTAAAAACAAAATAAAACCCCCAAAAGCCAAGAATGTTCCCGTTCAGTCTGACTATGCTCTTAAAGTCAGGTCGGGAGCGGGAGCTCTCTGGCTTGACCTGGGTAAGTGAAGCTAAATCCCGAAACTCTCTTCCAGGAGTGGTGCAGATAGTGGAGGTGATACTGAACGGGATGGTTCTCATGTGCATCGTGGCCTCCTACTTTGTCCTTGCGGGATTCAGCGCCAGCTTCACCAGTGGCAGCGGCTTTGGGAACAACTATTACTCTCCATTCGAGGGCACTGAGCTGGAACAGGTCCGGCAGCTGGACCAGCAGTACACAGTCCTCCGGGCACCCCTGATATACAGCGGCGTGGCTGTGTCTCTGGGGCTGGGGGTCCTCACCATGGGCGTCTTACTACAAGGAGCCAAGAAACTAACAAAACTGTCAGGGAGGTGGCTCCTCACAGAGGCCGCCTTCAGCCTCCTGGCTGCGGTGGGCTATTGTGTGGGCATCGGCGTTTACCTGCACAAAGCCCTTCAGATCAACTCCACCGACACCTGCAAAACAAGGGAGAGGCTCTATGCCCGCAAGGGTCTCACCTGGATGAACTGCCAGCTGGCGGGCACTGACGGGGCAGCAGCCACCTTTGCTTGTCTTCTGGTGATTATGTACGGTGCCAGCGTGGTGCTGGCCCTGCGGAGCTACCGACAGCAGAA